ATGAGTGTAGTTAATGACTAAATTACACATTAGAAATAGTTGAAATGTTTTATTACATATATGTATTCTCCAAAATAAATGTTAAAAAACACCATTAAGAACAGAAACTTTCATTCAATCTAAAAAGGCCAAGTGTATGATAATACATAAGCTCACTGCCATCAAGTCGATTACAATACGCTCAAAACTCCCTTCCATACAGTCAATTCTGACTCATGGTGACGCTATAGGGCAGGGTAGAACTCCTGTGGTGGGTGTCCAAGACTGAGAAATATATTACCGGAAAACTAAATGACTTGCTTGTGACCAGGTAAGTTAAACAGAGGGTCTGGTTTAATAGAGCAGGAGATATTTGGAAAATCTTAATGTCATTATATTAACATTATAAACCTCCAGATTGAAATAAAGTATTTTAGTGACAATGAACTGTAGCTTTTTGTCCCATAGGAAGTTTAAATTCAACCTCTTCGATCCCCAGGTTGGTTGTTTGAAAACCACCACTCTCCTTGGGAGGAAGAGGAAACTCCCAGGGGCAGTTCTACCCTGTTTTATAAGGTTGCTCGGAGCTGGTATCCACTCATTGGCAGTGAATTTTTTTGAGAATTGTTATCCAACGGCTGTGTAAACTAGAATGAGGAAATGTAAAGGAATAGAACATGTAAATGACAAACATGACGTTTATTTTTGTATCAACTGTAAATACAAAGCAGGTTACAATTAACCGAAAGATGGCTGGCAGCAGCTCTACTGAGTCAACACTCAGAGACCTGACAGGATCTGACAAGAGATCAGTGATAGGATGTCCAGGTGTTCCTGGTTCAGAACTTTGGGAAAGGGGTTCCTTGGAATCAGGCACTATGGTTTCGGTGGGGTAGGTGAAGGAGAGATTGTAACAAAGGTGTGTGAAAAGTAAAGAATATCTTTCCCCAGCTAATCCTGGAAATACTCAAGAACATATTTTATTCACCTAGGGAAAACGAACTTCAGTTTGTGAGTGAAATCTGAAACAAAGGCGTGATTTTCTACGATGAAACCAACAAAGATAATTATAGTCTACACCCACTCATTATTTTATTTTTATTTTAAAAATTTCAAATCCAGAACGGAACATCTAGATCTGTTGAGAATAAAAGTACACATATAAATCTAATTTAACTAAATATTTAGAGAATGCTGGCAATGTCAGCATTCCCCTCCACACTCCCTCCTCAAAATCTGTTTCCATGCAGTGGATTCTAACCCAGGGCAATTCCATGTGTGTCAGAGTGGGACGGCACTCGCACTTTGCAACGACTGTGACGTAGGGAAGTAGCTCTCCAAGCCTTTCATCTCTAGAGCCACTGGGTGGGTTCAAATGGCCAGTCTTACAGTCAAGAACCTAGTGCAAATTACTTGTACCACCTGGGGAAGATTACTTGCCAAATAAACAATTTTCAAGGGGCACAGTGGACATCTTTTTTATCGAAAGACAAATAAAAATACTTTAGAACAGTGGTTCTCAGCCTTCCTAATGCCGCGACCCTTTAATACAGTTCCTCAGGTTGTGGTGACCCCCCAACCATAAAATTATTTTCGTTGCTACTTCATAACTATAATTTTACTACTGTTATGAATCATAATGTAAATATCTGATATGCAGGATGTATTTTCATTGTTACAAATTGAACATAATTAAAGCATAGTGATTAATCACAAAACAATATGTAATTATATATTATGATATATTTATTTCTCATTACAAATAAATGAAATTTTGTCTTGAAGCATGCTGTAGCATGGGTAACAGTCTTCACACCGGGCACTCATTTGTGGGCGTATCTGCATGTGGGCGCGACCCACCTAAGAGACAGATAGAGGCTCATTGTCTCGTTTTCTAAGACCATCGGAAATGATGTTTTCCGTTGCCCTTAGGCAACCCCTGTGAAAGGGTCGTTTGACCCCTAAAGGGGTCGCAACCCACAGGTTAAGAACTGCTTCCCTAGAATGTCTCCAGACCTACATTTGAAAATATAGAAGCTGTACTTCTTTATCCTAAAATTTCTATCAGAGTTCACGAAAAAATAATTCTCATTTCTAATAATTTATAAATAACCATTGTTTTAAAACAACACATTGCATTGGACCAATCTGGTGCAAAAGATCTCTTTGAATTGTTTAAAAGCCAAGCTATCACTTTGATGAGTAAAGTTGGCCTAGGTGGAGCAAGTCATTTGAGCCCTGAGGTCCCTCCACATGGATCCCTCCTTGATCCAGGCACAGACTATGCAACACCAGCGAAGCAGCAAGGCAGTGACAGGAGTGGCAGCAGCAGAGCCAAGAGCCACACACAGGACAAATGAGCAGCGAATGCCCCTTATGGCCTCAAGGAGTACCCTGGCTGCACTTCTTTCAAGACAGATCGGTGTGTTGTTTTGGCAGCCCATGGTACTTCCCCAGCATCATGATTCAAATGCCTTGTTTCTTCATCGGTCTTTCTTATTCAATATCCAACTTTAACATGCATGGGAGGCCAGTGTGTAAATGATGATAGCAATATATGTACAAATATGCTTGATATACTTGATGTATGGAATGTTATTAGGGCTGTAAGAGCTCCCAATCAAATAATTTATAAAAAAAAAAAAAGGAAAAAAGAAGTGAGGATGGCAAGACTTTGGCTTACCTACTTAGGATACGTTATCAGGGGTCCCTGGAGACATCACAATTGGAAAAGTCAGACAAAAAGAGGATGAACTTCAACAAAATGGGCTGGTACGGGGATGCAACCAAGGCTCAAACACCAGTGATTGTGCATATGAAGTAGGATCAGGCAGTGCTTCATTTGCATAGGGTAATTATGAATTAGGACCAATCTGATGGCACAAAAACAAGAAGCCTAAATAATTAATGTTTCGGAAACGATTTAGTGAAAGTGGTGAAAACAAAACAAAAAAAGTTATGAAGGAAAAATACACAGATAAGTTTGTGGAGAATTTCATTCTAAGGTATGTAACAAGTGAATTATTTTTCTGCTGCTTCTGAATAATAAAGGAACTGTCTGTCCTGGCAGCACTGCCAGGTAAGCCTGGGACTACTAACTACAAGGTTGACAGTTCAAACCTACCAGCTTCCCCATGGGAAAAAGATGAGACTATGTGCTCTCATACAGATTATGCCTCAGAACCCAAATAGGGCTAACTGAAAGGCAGTTTGGTTGTTTTTGGTCTAGTTCACCATTCATCACATCTGTAGTTTAGTACTGTTTTTATTGTGTAATATGATCATTACCAGCAGGTATTCTAAGGCATAATAACTTTGGTGCTCATATATGCATTCCAAATGATAAAATCAAATTAACTTAAACTCCTCATTGTTGTGGCCCTTGCTCAAGGTTAGCTGCTGACTTTTGTTACTGCACTATGAGAAGTGCATGTCTCCCCTGCAGTACAAAGAAACAAAACTGTTAAATCATCCAGAGACATTTATTTATGATAGTTTCTCTTTAAATTATCATGGTTTATTCATTGAAATAGATTTAATTACTAGCGGATGCAGATAAGTATCCTTGAAGTAATACAACGGATCTTCATAAAAGTTGTCAAACACTTCTCAGATAAAACTGTATTTCAAGTCAGATTACAAAATCTCCTGCAATAAGTTAAAACAAATAAAAGAGAATTTACAATGCTGCATCTTATCTTTCATAAATATCAATCAGCAAAATTGAGCAAGATACCAGAAATCTATGATGTGTTGTCCTATTTTCCAAGCACTCCTACTCTTCCTACCCCTAATCAGACCAGGGAGAAGAAAATGATAGTGTCTAAAAAACTTTACAATACCTCCCTATCCTGCAGGGAGAGAGTAAGGAGGTAGCTGAAGGGAAAGAATGCAGAAAACCCAAACCCCGTGCTCAGGTATTCCGAGGTGGGGGAATGCCCCGCCGGGTCCCTAGCTGCTGTGCTCAGGGCTGGGAGGAGTGAGAGGACT